CTGACAGCAGCTATGATATCCCTTGTTCCACGTCCTCTTCTGAATCCAGCTTGCACCTCTGGAAGTTCTCTGTTAATATACTGCTGCAACCATTTTTGAATTATTTTCAGTAAGATCTTACTTGTGTGCGATATTAATGATATTTTTCTATAATTTCCACATTCTGTGGAATCACCTTTCTTTCGAATGGGTACAAATATGGATCTCTTCCAGTCAGTTGGTCAGGTAGCTGTCTTCCAAATCTCTTGGCATAACTGAGTGAGTGCCTCCAGTGTGGCATCCATTTGTTGAAATATCTCAATGGGTATTCTGTCATGTCCTGGGGCCTTGTTCTTTGCCAATTCCTTCATTGCAACTTTGACTTCCTCCTTCAGTACCATTGGTTCTAGATCATATGCCACCTGCTGAAATGGATGAAGACTGACCAGTTCTTTTTGGTACAGTGACTGTGTATTCCTTCCATCTTCTTGTGATATTCCCTGCATCATTCAATGTTTTGCCCTTAGAATCTCTCAGCATTGCAACTTGATGCTTAAATTATTTCTTCAATTCTTTCAGCTTGAGAAAAGCTGAGCATTTTCTTCCTTTTTGGTTTTCTAACTCCAGGTCTTTGCACATTTCATTATAGTAATTGGCTTTATCTTCTCAAGCTGCTCTTTGAAATCTTCTATTCAGCTTTTTTATCTTGTTATTTCTGCCATTTGCTTTAGCAACTCTCCATTTCAGCTCACTAAGGCCTAGGATATCAATCTTTATGCGTTCTATTTCATTTTTGTCAACGTCAATCTTCCTAGATTCATATTTCGTACATTCCATGTTCCGATTATTAATGGATGTTTGTCCCTGTTTCTCCTCAATTTGAGTGGTGCCACGTCAGCAAATGGAGGTCTCGAAAGCTTGACCTTATCCATATGAGTAAGGCTGATTTTACTCTGATAATGCAGTTTTTCCCAGTCTTACTTTGAGAGCTTTCTAAGCTAAGTGACTCATCTTCCTCCTCTGTATTGGACAATGTTTCTGGACTGTTCGTAAATTTGCGCAGTAATGTATCAGACAGTGTTTCTCTGCTATTCATAAGGTTTTTCCTGGTCAATTTGTTGAGAAGTGGATGGCCTCCTCCTGCTTCCTAGTCTGTCTCAGTCTGCAAGCCGGGCTGATACCTGTGTACCATGTCCACCCCACTGGGTTTACAACTCCTGTGGCACAGCCTCAAGACTCACAGCAACACATCACCACAGTAGGACAAACCGACAGACAAGTTTGTCTCCCTTAGCTGTTGGAAACAGCTCCAACCACCCTTATCTGGATTCCTGCGGTTGACTCCTCGATCTGTTCATATCCCCTTTGCCTTTTCTGTCTTCTCCCTGCCTTCCCTCCTTGCTCTTTGTGGGGCGTGGCCTGGGTTCCCTGTCTTCACCTGGGTCCCTGCAGCTGACTCCTCGGTCTGTTCCTATCCCTTTTGCCTTTTCTGTCCTCTCCCTGCTTCCTGCCTCGTTGCCTGTTCTTAAGTCCCTAGAATCCAAATGAGAAGGATAGATCACTTTAAAATCCAAAATGGTTTTCACTTGTAAACATTAAAAATGGCTGCTCCTTTGGTTACTTTAAATATCCAAAAAGGCCACAGCTTGTTAACATTCAAAATGGCTGCACCCTCGGTCACTTTAAATATCCAAAATGGCCACTGCTCATAAACATTCTAAATGGCTGCACCCTTGGTCACTTTAAATATACAAAATGGCTGCGTCCTTGGTCACTTTAAATATTCAAAATGGCTGCCACATGTAAACAATCAAAATGGCTGCACCCTTTGGACAAACAAGAAAGTCAGCCAAAAGAAACCAAGAAAACCTACAATATCTGGGGATAGGGAAATAAGAGAAAAAAGGCAGAGAAGGAGAATAACGAAGAAAAAAATGGGAAAAATGCAAAAAGAAAAACAAGGAAAGGGGTTAACCATAAGAAAAAAGAGGAAAAAAATTTTGCAACCAGGAACAGGGAGAAGAAAAAAGCTGAAAACTATGACCTGGGAGGGGAATAATAGTAAAAAGGTCAAAAGTATTAATAATAGTAGTAGTTTTAAAAGAGACAAATGCAAGCAAACTAAAAACCAGAAAAAAGAAAGAGGAAATAAAAATCAGGGGAGGGCAGGGCAGGTAACCCAGGCTCCATCCAAGCACACAGAATGGGATGAGGTTCCTTTGGGCCCAGAGTGTGGGTAGGAGTGGGGGATGGCCGAACCTCCATTCACCAAGTGGGTGTGGGCTATAAGAGTATCAAGGGGAATGTTGCACCTTTTCAGTCGTGGAGGTCTGGAGTGTCCTTGGGGCTACATTAGCAGCATTAGAAGGAGGGTAAAATCCAGCTCTTGCAACTACACTAAACTTTTTGCTGAATGCTGTTTTTGTGTGCTATTGAGGATAGAGTAGAACTGCCCCATAGGGTTTTCCAGGCTGTCTTTACAGGAGCAGACTGCTGTATCTTTCTCCCATAGAGTGCCTATGGCTTCGAACTGCTAACCTTTCTGATAGCAACTGAGTACTTAAGCACTGCATCACCAGGAATTCTTTTTTGTGAAATACAGAGTCAATTAAAATGTAATGCAATAGTAACGATTCATTTGTATTCAACATCACCTTTGTCATTATAGAAACCATAGATGTATACTTGTAATAAGTCTAGGGGTTTCTGGTATTCATATTGATCACATTTTGGGTGGAGAGAGAAAAATGGAAACAAAACACTTTTGGAATGGCCCTGCGGTTATTTTCCATTTTAGATCCCAAATTTTGGTTTGTTTAATGAAATAAACAAATTAGAGTTCCTTTCAGTATTCATTCCACTGCTGATATAATACTTAGTTTTTACATTGCAGTTATCATTTAACATGGAAGAAGATGAGTTCTTTGGAGAAAAAACATTCCAGCATTATTGTGCAGAATTCATTAAACATTCACAGCAGATAGGTGATGGTTGGGAATGGAAATCTTCAAAGGTAAGAACAGAACTTTTTATTTTTTTTTATTTAGATGGAGGTTTTGGTGGGTTTTGTTTGTTTTTTTCTATAAAACCTTAGTAATTGAAACTAATGTATGAAAGCTAGTTTGATTTAGTAAACGGCCTAAATTGAAGAATGTTTTAAAACAGATGTCTGTTTTATTACTGCAGCAATATATACTCATTGTAATTAGACTAATGAAGTATTATCTAGAAAAGTCCTTAGGTGACCTGCTTTAATTTAATAGATAAGGATGCTTAGCATATTAATTATCTGAATGTAAACAAATGCCTCTGTGGTGCTTCAAACCATTTGTTTACACTGTTAATTTTCTTAGGAAACTACATTTGTCCAGAAAGTGAAAAGATAATCCTGAAGCCAAACCATAGTCAAACAATCACAAATTCTGAAATATTGAGGACTATATTAACTGGGAATTTCTTAATAATGTCAACTCATTACAAAACATTTTTTCTTTTGGTTCTATTCAGTAATAATAATGCAAAAGGCCTTTCTACTCTTTTATTTCCACACATACAATTAATAAGATTCTCTGCCAAAAACTTTTTAAGAGTTCTTTGGAATCCCTTTATTAGGGAATAACTAAGTTTTCTTGCCTTAAATTGTATCTGATTCCTGAAGCAGTGTTGAATCCTGATTCTCTGCTGATTGGTTCTGTTTCCTAAATGCACTCTGAGAGATTTCAACCATTCTGGCCTGATTCTTGTGATTCAGAATTAGGCCAGAAAGATGTTGGTTTTGATCAAGTTCAAGTGTCACTGGGGAGAGAAGACATGACTTCCTCTTTGGTCATTTTTTGGCTAAGTTTAGACAGAGTGGCTCATGGGCTGGTTCACAGGTATAGGGTTAGTTTTTTTTTTATGTGTGTGGTAGATTCTAGCCTTATCCTCTAAGTTAGTGGTGGGTAGTCCATCAGCCCTTAGGGAATCTCCTAATCTATGATAATATGATTTTACTAATACCTTTTATTAAGTTTGCTCCTGGGTATTTTATAATTTTGTTTGCTATTGTGGTTGGATTTTTCATTTATCATATTACTTATATTGCTGATAGATAAAAGAACAGATAATTTTTGTTTATTAGTTGTATAATCTATGATGGTTTATTTTGAGTGTTCTAGGTATAGTGATTTCATCTACAAATGAGGAGTTTTTATATGATCATCTTTGCAATATTTCTCTGTTATTTTATGCATTAACTAGAAAATGTCAAGCCTCCCTTGGTGGTACAAATAGTTTAAGCACTCATCTACTAGTGGAGGGAGCTCTGGTAGCATAGTGCCTAAGGCATTTGGCTGCTAACCAGATGGCTGGCAGTTCAAACCCACCAGCTACTCCTCATAAGGAAGGTTGGGCAATCTACTGCCATAGCGATATCACCTCGGAAACCCAAGGAGGGGTCGCTATGAGTTGAATCTGACTCAACGGCAGTGAGGTTTTTTTTTTTTTTTTCTACTAGTGGAAAGGTGGACCCTTTGAGTTCACCCAGAGGCACCTTGGAAGACAGACCTGCTGATCTGCTTCCAAAAGGTCACAGCCTCAAAAACCCTGTGGAGAAATTCTACTTTACATGCCTGGGGTCTCCATGAGTTGTTATCGACTCAATGGCACCTAATAACAACAGAAATGTCAAGTAATTGTAATAATGGGTCTCCTTATCTTGAGCCTGATTTTAATATTAATGCATTGAGAATAGAAGGAGCCATAATAATTGTTTGGTTCTTGTGTTGTAAGGCTTAAAATTTCAAGTGCTGCCTTAACATCTTCATAGAGTTTGGGGCTTCATAGAGCCCCAAAGGTCTAACAATGAGTTCCCCTGTTCTTGCCACATATGCCTCCCCCACTATCCAGTGGAAAAGACTCCCCACCTAGCTAGTTCCGCTATCAGAACCTTGAAGGTTGTAAATGTTGGGTGTGGAGGAACAGAAAGAATTATCCTGCCTAGATACCAATGACATCTAGATCCACTGAAAAATATTGATTTAGAAGTTTTCACCTTATTCTGCTTAGCTGTAGAGGTAACAGCTGTTATAAAGATTCAATATATATAAAGTATGCTTGACTCAAAGCTTAATACATAATTCTCTCAATAAATGGCAGTGATAGTTATTATTTTTATTATCACATAGTTGTTCATTTATAGTGCTCAGCATAGTACATATTAGATACCATTGTAGGAAACCAGGCAAATACCCAACAGTGTAAAGAAGAAAATATTATTCAAAAACAAACAAACAAACAAACAAACAAAACAAAACAAAACAAAACAAAAAATATATATATATATGAGTTCTGGTAGCCTAGTGCCTAAGGCATTTGACTGCTAACCAGAAGGCTGATGCTTCAAACCCACCAGCCACTCCTCGGAAGGAAGATTGGGTGACCTACTTCTGTAGTGATACTGCCTTGAAAACCCAAGGATGGGTCGCTGTGAGTTGGATCGACTTGATGGAAGAGAATTATATATACGTATGTATGTAAAATGTGAATTGTATGATATTTATAACATTATTGAATATATATTTTTTCAGTTTTTTTATTATGTTCATGGTGCTTTTTGCTTTACAGTATTTAAAAAATATTTTTATGTAGTTAAATATATCAATCTCTTCATTTATTGCCTCTGGATTTTGAGTAGTAGTTAGAAAATCTTTCCTTACATTGACACTAAAGAGGAATTTCCCCATGTGTTCTTCCAATACTTGTATGTTTTTTTCCCCCATTTAGATTCCTGACCCATTTTGAGTTTCATCTTTTGTGTAATGTGAATTATGGATATAATTTAACCTTTTTTCAAATGAGTGATTTTTTACACTGATTCCATTTTTATTAAAATGTCCATCTTTGACCCAATGATTTGAGATGCACTTTTATCGTTTACTAAATTTCCATATATACGTAGTTTATTTCTGGATTGTCTGTTCTATTCCATGGGTCTCTTTATTTATGAGTCACTGTTATACTGTTTCAATTATAGAGGCTTTATGGTATATTTTAATGTCTGGGAGAGCTCATCCCTTCTCATAGTTTTTCCTATGTTTTTCTGGCAATTCTTGAATGTTTGTTTTTCCACATGAACTTCAGTAAAAACTTGTCTCCATAAAAATATTTGATGTATTTTTTATTGAGATTACATTAAATGTATAAATAATTTAGGGAGAATTGACACCTTTATATTGCTTAGTTGTCCTGTCCAAGAGCAAAGAGTGTCTTTCCATTTGTTCAGATCTACTTTTATATCTTTCAGGAGTGATTAAAAGTTTTCCTTAATTTTTCATACATTTCTTGTTAAGTTTGTAAGTATTTAATATTTTTTGTTGTTCTTATAAACAAGAGTTTCTCCACTGTGTTATCACTTAACTTGTTATTGTTTGTGTATATGAAGACTATTCATTTCTGTTTGTAGTTTTATATCGTGCTATCTTACTAAATTATTTTGTTCCTTGAGTTAGTTTTAGCATTGGATCTTAGGAAATTTTCCAAATATATGTTTGTATTTAGTTTTACTCCCTCTTTACCAATTCTTACTCCTCTAATTGATTTCTCTTGTCATCTCTAGTACAGTGGTAAATAGTATTGAAGATAGTGGATATTTTTAGTTTGTACCTGCTCTTAATGGAGATGTCTCTAGTGTTTCCTAATTAAATAGTATAACTTTTCTAGGACCGAAGTATATATATTTTATCATGTTAAGAAAGTGTCTTTCAAGTCTTATTTTCCTGAATGTTATATATATTGTCTATCCTCCAGACTGAGTGCATGACATTGCACAACCAACAATAGTGCATGTGTTTGTTAGTTCATCCACAATCTTGCCAACACTGGGTTTTTTCAGTCTTTTTAATTTTTGGCAATCTGATAGTTAAAAAAAAAAAAGATAATCCTGTTTCCATTCTCATTTTATTGATCACTTGTGAAGTTGAACACATTGTTACATCTTTATTTATTGTTTTTGTGAAGTACCCATTCACGTCTTTTGTTTAATTTCTATTGGGACATTTTTTTTCTCATTGACTTGTAAATTTTCTTCTTATCCTATGGGTGTGAATCTTTATCTGTCATATATATTGCAAATATTTTTCTTGTTTACATTTTGTATATAAAAGTTTAAAATTTAATATAAACAAATTTAGTGTTCTTAAAATAAAACAGACTCTGTCATGTTGGCATGCTATCATAATATAGTATAATAGTATCTGTCTTGTGGTCTGAATCAGGAGGCTTATGGTATAGTTCCATTTCACAGAAGAGATTAACAATCTTTTCTGAATATACATGATGAAAACTGTGATTATTATAACAAGTAATCACAGGCAACATTAAATTGCAAGATTGATAATTCTTTGGAAAAGCAAAAATTTAAAAATAAATTAGAATTTAGAAAACTTAGTACAATTTTGATAATAACAATGATTATTAAAAAATAGCTAAACACAAGCAAAATCATTCTGTAAGTCTAACAATTCTTTTAAAATTTCCATTTTAACTAAATTAGGAAAACTTCTAGTGACATGATTGTGGCATCAATACAGCTTTTGAATTTTTCCCAAACTCCTCATAAAAACAAGACAACAATAAACAAAGAATTCAAGAAGACAAAACTGTTGGACAACGTATTCAAACCAAAAAGATGATAAAGACTCTCTAAGAACTCTAGAATTCACCTGTTTGTGGCAAAACACCACAGTAGCAGAACCTGTACAGGATTCATATTTGTGAGGCTAGAGCAGCTTGAAGTAACTGGGGCTTGTCAGTGTATCCTAAAAGCTGTGGAAATAAAACATCATCAACATTACTCCAAAAGGAGAAAACTACACCCTGAGTAGAACTCTGGGTAAAAACATTAAGTACCACTGGTGAAAACTAGAAATAGGCCTCACATGCTTTAAATTACTGGTGAATGAGAAAACATTACAGAGACATAGAGTAATTGATTGCTACTCTGGTAGTCTGAACTCTCAAGAATCTTGGAAATAG